CCCCAAACCCCCAAAACCCCAAAACCCCAAAACCCCGGGTGGAATTTGTAAAATTGATATTAATATTAGTATTGGGAGAGAATAAAATGGTACCTTTTGTGTAGAATTTTGGTTTGAAAGGGGAGTTTATTTTTACTGAAAGATATTTGAGCTTGTGTTTATTTATAACCCCAATCTCCTCACTAAGACTACCACCTCCTAACTCCCCTCTAGACCATAAAAATACTCCTACTTCTCTTAACCTTATTCCACCTTCACTGATCCTCCCCCACCCAAAAGTAAGCTCCTCTCCTTCTAATTTTAGTCTTCACGAAGTAACCCACCGTTCAAAAATTCAACCCAGTAAGTAAAATATAGAAAAATTTAGGCCCTTAGGCTAAAATTTGAGTCCTTTTAGAAATTTGTACTGTGAAATTTTTTAAGTGGGATTTTAAGCAAGAGAATTTTTATTTAGAGCTGGAAAGGAGATTCTTAGCAACAAATTGTGGGAATGGAGTCCTTGATAGTGGTGAACAGTGAGATGATTCGAATGGGAATAGTGGAGATGGATGTAGCTCTGCTTGTATTTTGGAGACTGGATATGAGTGGGATGGAAGCGCAGTCAAAGATATTTGAGGAGACGGGAAAGTTGTTCTTAGGCAATCTACTGGTACAATAATGTAAGCAAGAATGATCAGGACTAACAATTATACTCACTTCGTTATAGATATGTAGATGAGTACTGAGATGATGGGAATCTTGTTGACGGAGATGGCTGAGATAGCACATGCAAAAGAGAAAGCGGATATCTTTGTTATGGAGGCAGTCTCACCTCTAGTGATGTTTGAATTGATATATGCGGAGATGGAGTAAAAATAAGTAAGGATGCTGAAGATTGAGATGATGGAGATACTCTAAGTGGAGATGGTTGTGATTATAATTGAAAAGTTGAAGACGGGTACACTTGTTCAGGTGGAAGCTTAACTTCTCCTGATGTTTGTACAAAGAAATGATCTGATGAGAATTGAATAACCTGAAATACCAATGATATCACTAAATGATATGTTTGTCAGGATGGCTATAAACTTCAAAGTAATTTGACTTGTCTTGGATCTAATGTCACTCAGCAAGTGAAGCAAATGGGCCAAGCAACCATGGCTGCTACTGGAGCTGCATCTTCAGTAGCTATAGGAATATCCTTGCTTTCATTTTCATCTCCAATGGCAATCTGGTTCCTTGCTAACCAGTTCCAACTGTTTTCGCTTTTCTTATTGACTAACACTGCTCTACCTGTCAACGTGGTTGAGTATATAAAAGGTAACTCGATGTTCTCATTTTCAATGGACTTTATTCCCTTTACTAATGCAGCTAGCAATGGGGTTTCAAAGGGTTTCAACAAAGACCAGAAGCACCAAGAACTTAGAGATATTGGTCTAGAATCACAAAGCGCATTTGTGAACAACCTAGGATGACTTATTACATTATTTATCTTTGTCTTCTGTCACTTAGTTGTATATTTACTACAAAGCAAATCTGCTCGGATGAATAGTCCACTTGAAGTAACCAAGTTTAGCAAGTTCATGATAAAATTATACAAAATATTTACTCTAGGAGTGTACATCAGATTCGTGTTGGAGGCTTTTCAGCTAATTGTAATGAGTTCATTCTCTGAAATTATCACTCTTGATGTATCTGAGCCGCTCTCAGTTGTATCTTGGGCACTAGCTCTCTTGCTTTTCTGTCTAAGTGTTGCTTATTTTGGAATAGCAGTTGTTCATACATGTAAGCTTCAGGATGATACTGAAAGAAGTGAGAGTTCAAAATTAGAAGAGTTCAATTCTGGACTTAAAAACAAAAAATTAGCCAAAATGTACACTCCAATGATACTACTCAGAAGATATCTGCTTGTGATATGGCTAGTCTGAATGTTGAAGTCGGATCCAATTGTTATTATGTCAGTTATAATATCGTTACAAGTGCTGTATCTCTTCATTCTTATGATTGCTAAGCCGTTTGAAGACAGAACAAACAATGTTATAGAATTGGTAAATGAGATAATTTTTACCATTTTGATTGGACTTTTATGAAGATTCAACACAGAGAAAGCTTGGAATGGATCAATAGATTCGATTTTTATATCAATAATGCTGTTCAATACACTCATAGTCACTGTAATTCTCACAAGTAAGCAAGTCAATAACTCATAATAGTATCTTTTATATACAAGCTCAAGCAAAAATTCAGCAATCAAAATCAAAAGAGAGGGAGTAACAAAATAGCAAATGTATCAGGCATAACTCCTCCTCACTTCTCAACCATGCATCATCCTTCCAACTATGCTTCTAGTCTTTCAGGGACTTCCTCTATCCAGCTGGGGCTATCCAAATCTAAGCCCATAAAACCAGAGCGAGTTGTAGACTGGAACTCCTCCTTCAAGCCATCACTCAAGGATCATAGCCCCAAAGAGGAATCTAAGTTTTAAACCAACATAGATTTTAGAATTTGTCATTATCCTGGCCTAGGTATTATTATATTATGGTTCAAGTTAAGATATCTTGTTTGGGGTTTTGGGGTTTTGGGGTTTTGGGGTTTTGGGG